TTTCATTTGAAATATAAAATGATGAAGAAACTGTTCTCTGTCCTGCTGAAAGCTACAATAATAAACAAGAGGATTCTACTTTGTCAGAAACAAATCCACAGAATAGTGTTGCTAAGCTAAAAGAGGATGATCTAATAAATATTTTAACACACAGGGATATTGGATTTATGAAGTTTGATACAACAGGCTCAGCAGTTGTAACACATGTACATCACAGAGAGATTGTTAAAGTTGGAGCACATGAATTTCAACATAAAGAAGGTCCATTTGATGCCAAAGATGGGTGTTCTATGACTGCATTTTGGTTCAAACAGCGCCTTCTCAATGGACAAGAGGTCAATCATTCCTGGTTGGTGTATTCACCTCTACGTAAAGCAGCTTACTGCTTTTGTTGTCTTCTTTTTTCATCTACATGTATGACATCCGATGGTCAGTCTGCTTCCAAAAACGGTGGATTCTGTAAGCAGAAAAAAATTTAAAAGTTAAATGCCCATGAAAATAGTGACAGTCATCATGAGTCATTTGCTGCTTGGAAAGAAACTGAGTGCCAAATACATCTTCAAATTGGCATTGATGAGGAGCTGCAAAGGCAAATTCAGCAAAAAAAATAAATGGAGATATTACAGATTTTGTTAACAATTGGGGTTTCCATTGCTAGTTGTGAAAGGCCCTTCAGCAAGCTGAAATTAATTCTTACATACTTGAGAACCTCAATGACTCAAGAACGACTTAGTAACTTGGCAATATTAAGTATTGAAAAAGACGTACTTAATACCTTACATTTTGATAGTTTAATTGATGCATTTGCAGCAAAAGCACAAAAGGTTCATATAATGTAACCATGAATACCAGAATGCTACCTGTACAAGATCTAGTTAAGTATGCATACAGTTTTGTAAAGTAATAAAATTTGTTACTCGTAAACTTAAGTAATATTTTATCAATCTGTTTTATAATCTATGTAAACCACAAGTGACTGGCTTCAAAAGTAGGGATATAGCAGAAATTTATTCTGCATGCTTGAAAGATTACTCTAGCTATGTGACATTGAACAATACTGGATGACATAAATATCAAAATGGTTTACAGATTATGTAAGTACACCTAGTAGGCTATACTTCATTAGTTCCAGGTTTGCAGTTAATATCGTGAGATGTTATGTTGTGACTTTATTTTAGGTCTGTGTAAGGCGGTAATTAATTCTTTATATTATTGTCAATAAGTGGGTAATGAGTCCCAAAACAAATAATCAAAACATTTCAGAGGTGGGGGCACCAAAAGTGTCTTTGCCCCCGAGTGCCGAGAACCCTTGCTACGCCACAGTACAGTATCATGTGGGGTACGAACCAGCGATCTTCAGTATTAGTTGAAAATCATTAGAAAGAGTATAAAATACTACGGAGTAATTTTAATCATCGAGTTGAGTTTCCTCTGTTTACTTCTATCTATGACTCGTATGAATTACATGAAACTATTAACTATTATTATAAGCTTTATAAGTAAATACTTTTATCACCTCTGAACATGGCTAAGGTTTGAAAAGTACCTTTTAGACTTGCAATATGATGTATCATAGTGCTCAAACATGTTTATATTGTTGAATAGAGTTGGGTTATCATGCAAAATGGGATTTATAAAACTAATAGGAATTCCATCCAATTTAAATTGACATCTTGTGGACCATGCTTCTCTTGCATATGCAGATTATTTTTTTTTTAAATTGTAACTAAATCTTAAATGCTAAGTTCCAAGTACTCTAAAATTTCAATTTTGTCTGTGTCATACATTTGATTTTAGTAGCTTTTCTTATTACTATTGATAAAGTTTGTTGGTTTTTTTTTGTCTCAGTCATGTGCCTTTTGGCTAAGACAAAGTCCATTTGTATGAATTGAGCAGTCTGATATTGTTTTTAATTACTAGATAGTTAATGATTAATTTTCAGATTCCAAATAACTCATCATTTTCTTAATATTTAATAATAATTATTTTTTGTAAACAGTGTTATGGATTTTATTAAAACAATATGAAAGGGTAATCATTCCAACATTATTTCCTTTTTTTACCCATGCTGTAGGTCTTCGAGGAGCAATGGCTTTTGCTTTGGCATTTAGAAATACTTTATCTGAACCTCGCCAGCTTATATTAACTACAACTTCTATGATTGCTATAGTGACTGTATTTTTTTGTGGTGGAATCACAACCCAGTTATTGACGTGGCTTGGTATACCGTAAGTAGAAATGGTACATTTTATTTTTTAAGTTTCAGTTCCCTTACCAAATTTTATTCTGCAAAGTGAATGGAAAAATGTATACTGTAGCTGGTGCTGATGGTTTGTAGCAAGCATGTCTGCAGCAGGTATTTTGTTGACTTTAAATATATACAAATGTGACAGAAGTAATATATGAAAACAGTAAAATAAATAGTTCTAAATGTGTGTTAAAAAGTTGGTGCAGATGAATAACTGACACAAAATATGTAGTTTATGTGGAATTTGTAGATTAATAGTCAAATTACAGGTATAATACATGTTTTGCAGAGAAATTGCAGGCACATCTAGTAGTCAGTCACATTTCTGCAACAATATTTGTTTTAATTTGTTTAAACAATGTATATCTAGCAGTTAGGTTAAGTTTTTAGATTAAATACAGTTCTCATATGCATTGTTGAATTTTACATAAATCTCTCCAGAGAAATTTTAAACTATTATATAGAAATGGAATATAATGAAATTGAGCATAAAAATACACAAAATACTGATTCATCCATTTAATTTTTAATAAATCATAGTGCAAGATTCATCATATAGTACAACAATTTCAGTTACAAAAGATTATTCACTAGTTATTTTACAAAAAAAAGTAATGTCAAAATGTAATATTGGCATTAAAATATTTGTTTCATAGGTTCATGATAATTGATTATTATGTTAACACCTGAAAAACAAATCAAATGAACCAAAATTGTGTTGGCTATTGCATGCATTGCATGTCATTATAAGTTACTGTGTACAACACTTAACAACAAGCATTTATGTGCAGTGTTGTTAAGTATTCAATATAAGTATATTCATCATAGACTAAAAGGCTGGATGCGAGTAAAATAAAAACATGTTGGTTCACAAAGGATGTAAAGATAAAAGTAAAGAAAAGCATTATAGATATAAGAAGTTTAAATTAACTGCAGTGATGTGAAATTTTGAGAATTACAGAAGATCAAGAGTTGGTCAAACAAGAAATAAAGAAATAAAAACTATGAAATAAAATTTGGCTGAAAATGTAAAAATAAATAGTAAGGATTTCTTCAAATACATCAAGGGTATGCAAAATGTGAGGATTGGAGGATTAGAGCCTTTGAAGGATGACACTGGAATCATTCAATCATTTGTTGATTATGTGATGGCTGGATGATTAAATTCTACTCTTTCTTCAGTTTTTACAAATGAAGATTTAACCCTATTGAGACGGGTAGGGGTCAGAGGACATGTCACCACATTTGTAGATTTACATTCAGCATTTTATTTAACTATTATTTTATAAACGTATATCTGTAAGTTTGGTATCAAATTGTAGATAATAATTCAAATTTTAGTATTAAAGATTAGTTAGTTTCTCAATTTGAAACTAAGTATTTAAAAAAAAAGTCTAATTATCGATTTTTCGTGTTTCACATGGTACGTGGCCTTCTAGGTTTGGTCACAATACAAGGTCTATAGAGTCATACGAATTAGAAACTCAAATGATTGATATTGACAAGCTAGAATATAAAATAAGAACCTCCTACCTTTTCTATTTGCTGAGATATCATGATATTTATTGAACTCACCATATTTATCTATGCCTACTTTTATACACCACTAACTTTATAATCAATCGAAAGCTATATATTCATTCTACATAATTCTGTCATTCTTCCTAAGTTATTTATGAGAGAAATGCTCATATCATTGAAAAGTTTGAAGTATTGCTATCAAGGCTATTTTTATATAGAAATTATATTTTTTTAGACCCAAATGCAATTTAGTTAGGAAGCCTGATACATTACAGTGGATTTTGGGTATTGGTATAGTAATTTATAAATTTTCTTTTGTATTCCAAAATGCTTATATAAAGTCGACAAAAATTATTGTTCTTGCATCTCCACA